AGACAGGCTAGGGTCATCACCTCCAAGTGTTGCATTTCCAAGACTTGATGTAGTAAATGTGTAAGTTTGTCCCACCTCTCCAGTGACAGGAAAACCTTGTCCTGTATCGTGTCTATCTGTACTTCCAAGTGAGTGAGTACCTGAGTCAGTTCTAGTGTGCTCTTCTCCCTGTTTATCACAAACCCGTGACGAAGGAGAAATCTCTGTAGGGGTCTTGTATGGAATCTGACCCAAGGTAGCAGGTCTTGACATGACACCATCATCCCCAGGAGACAGGCTAGGGTCATCACCTCCAAGTGTTGCATTTCCAAGACTTGATGTAGTAAATGTGTAAGTTTGTCCCACCTCTCCAGTGACAGGAAAACCTGTACTTCCACATGAGTGAGTACCTGAGTCGGTTCTAGTGTGCTCTTCTCCCGGTTTATCACAAACCCATGATCCTGCAGCACCTGAATTGACAAGTCCAGATGTTGACGTGCTCGGAGGTAGGAGTCCGCCTTGATTAGAATAACGATACTCCTTTCATCCTCAGGAAGGCCACTATGGATACCAGTACCTTGGTGAATACCCTTGGCAACGTCCTCAGACCAAATGGAAGGGCTCGGTACTGGAAGTGTTTTCCATGGTACGCAAACCGGAGAAACTGTCGGTGATTTTCTCTTATCGGTATGTGTAGGTACGCTTCGGCCAGGTCTATGGAGACCATGAAATTCCCTGTCTGCAGAGATGATAGGATGGACTGCAGTGTTTCCATCTTGAACTTTCTTGAGCCCTGATGTGTTTGTTGAACCACTTCAAGTCCAGTATGGCTCTGGTGTCCCCATTCTTCTTGGGAACCGTAAAGAAGATGGAGTATACTCCGTGCAACTTCTCTCTCTCGGGTACCTTCTCTATCGCTCCGATATCCAACAAATGTTGCATGGCCTGCTTCATTATCCTGTGTTTTTCTGTTGATTTCTTCTTTGACATTTCCAAGAATCGCTGGGGCGGGGATCTTTGAAACTCCAATGAGTAACCATGGGTCACTGTCTCCAGTACCCATCTGTCTGTCACAGTCTGTTGCCACTGCCTGGAGAAAAGCTGCAGTCTGGCACCCACCCCTGTCACAGACACGGTATAGTCATGCTGAAGGTCCTTTCTTGAGACCTTTGGCTCCTTGTCCCGCTTTTCCTGCGGAGGAGGGTGTTCTGGCATCTCTAGGCTTGTTCTGCCATCTGCCCTTGTATGTTCTATTAACATGTTGTCTATCATCACGTCTGGAATTGTAGTAGAGATGGGACTATAAAGATTTCCCCCTTTTTTGATTATTCATATTTCTCTGGTTTTTATAGATTTATTCTTAAATAACATGTTATTAGGATGTTAGAAAGGCCTGTTATATAGAAGGCTTTTTTCTTGTAGGTCTGATATTGCTAGCAGACAACATAATAGGTAGAAAGTTCATGATTCAGTAGTTCCTAAGGGCAAAACCTTGCAATGTCTGGGTCAGACACGATTTTAGTCTCGTATCAGTAAAAAATACTTTTGTTTAGGATATGAAGACTCCTTGCCCATTATCATTTAGGTTAGGTTAAATAAACACTTAGATTTGACATAGATATATGTTTCTTTACATCTGAAAAATCAGAGGCTTATTACTCAAATGACCATGGTCTTTTATAACCAATTATGCTTTTTGAATATTGTTTTCTTGATTATGTCAGTCCATGTATAAAATATCATGTATTTCCTGAATATGTTCAGAATATGTTCAAGAAGAAGAAAGTTGTCAATTTTTGATTAGTTATTTGGTCCAATTGTTTTCCTGTTAGTTGAAGCATATTCCCTGAATATGCTGAGAAGAAAGTAGTCAATTTTGGATGGACTATTTGGTCCAACTGTTTTCTTGTTAATTGAAATAAAACATAGATCTTCCTCCTCATTTGACTTCATTTTTGACACGGAATCTAATATGTACAACAGAATCTCAAAAGGACTGGAATCTCCTTCTATTCTTCACATCCTTTCTCTTTGAAGGTAGCACCCGTTTCTTGTCTTTATCCTCAATCAGATAGTGATCGAGACCTGCACAAAAAGATTTATCCCTTTAAATGCTACCACTGCAACCTTAGCCCATGCCACTGGGTTGGCATCCCAGTGTCTCAGCCATGTATTTCTTCTTCCAGTCACGCTACAGGCCATTGCTCTAGCTGTGACCTGTACGGCGTCCAAGGAAGTGTCTGCTGCAAAGGTGGTAGCTAGGGCTATCTTTTTTAGTTCATCCTTCAGACTCTTAGGAATGTCACTATCAGCTGTCGTCAACTCTGAAGCCCATGTGTAAGCTGCCCTGGTGAACAATGATCCTGTAGCAGATGCTCTGAGGGAGGTGGCCGAAGCTTCAAAGTCCCTGCGGACAGCTTTCTCAACCCTCTAGTCACAGTTATCTTTTGGGAGTCCGTCAGCATCCATAGAAAGCAGAGATGTGGATGCCAGTGAGTTGATCGGGTCATCTACCATAGGTAGCTTAATCCTCTTGGTGGCTTCTGGAATGAGAGAGTATAGTTTTGCAAAGAGTGGATTACCAGACTTTGGATTGGCTGGATGTTCCCATTCTGCCATAATGGTGTTATAAAATGCTGCAGGCAATGGTACTCCCGCTGTTTTAATGTGAGCCTTAGGGGTGGCTTTACTGGATCCCACGGGAAAACCAGGATCCTCCTTGTCTTCCTGCTCTTTTGGAGTGTAAACTAGCTCCAGCGTTGTAATTACTTTAGGTAGCAGCCTACTATAAATTTCCTGTGGAAAGAGTCTTGACTGTATGATGGGTACTGCCTCCTCCTCCTCTTCTGATAGTTCCCCTTCTTCCTTTTCTGAGGCTGACAATACAGAATCTGAGTCATCCTCAAGATCACTAATCAGGGGAATGAAGCCCTTGGTGTGTGTGGAATCCCTGCACTTCTTACTCGGGGGAGGGATATCATCTAGGCTAGGGCTCCTCTCCCTTTTAGAGCTATGACCAGTAGGCTGTGTAGAGACTGTTTGTTGCCATAAGCCTTTACATTCCTTCCTCATTTCCTCTCTAAACCATGAGAGTAGATTGGACTGAGCTTCCTCTCCAGAAGGCTATAAATTTTAGGAGCCTGTAGGAGTAGCCTGTGATAGTTCCAGGTCTTCAGGGCCCAGGGAACTTGCTATTCCGGCCTTGTCTACCATTTTAGGGGAACCTGAAAGTGAAAGCAGTGACCATCACTCTAGTGGATCAACTCCTCAAAATGGAGTCCTAACCCTCATGGCCCAGGAGGTTGTGTTAGGGTCCTGCTTACTGGCACCTGCTTAGGAACTAATCTATGTCCCTCTAAAGTCAGGAGCAGAAGGGAAAAAACTTTCAGTGCCCAAGCCGATACGGAGGATAAGGGAGGTCACTTTGCCATTCCAGAACCAACACAAGCTACTGCAACTGCCCTTCTCTCACCCTTTCCCCCCTCCTTGTAATTCCTACCGTGATTCAGGTGCCTGGGCAGACTGCTCTGGAGCCACTCGCTTCCTCACTTGCCCTGCAGGTAAGAAGAGTCCCGCTCCAGTGCTGAACAGGACGGCGACAGAGTTCCCGTGCCTCCCTCGGCTACCGCCAGAGTCCTCCGCTCTCCCCAGGCTCTTCGTTGAGCCGATCGAGGCCCTCCATCTATAGGGAGGGGGGGAAATGGCATGCAGCTGTGTATCCCAGCAGGGTCCAGAGGCATTTCTTTTGACGCCGCAACTGCCTGGGGCCTCCCAGGGCTGCTGGCGCTGATGTTGAAGTCCCAAAGCCCGTGGCTCTCTGGTAAGGAAGGGGTGAGAAGGTAATTACCTTCCCCCGCTTCTTTTCTCAGCCGTTTGTGGTCTCTCTGTCTTGCTGGTCTTCTGTCTTCCGGGATCTTCATGCTCTACGGAGCACAGCCAGCATGTCCTGCTTGGAAGGCAGGGCTGGTAAGCCTGGGGAGTCAGAGGATAAGCCCCTCCCCTTTGGGATCAAAGATTGCCGGCCCTGCCTACAGAAGAGGAGGTGCTTTCCCCAGGAGAAAGGAGTCAAGGACTGCCCAACTCTTGGACCACCAGAGAAATTGAAATTGTTCAAGATTTTATATTCCTTGGCTCCATCATCAACCAAAAGAGAGACTGCATCCCAAGAAGTCAGAAAGAGTTTGAAACTGAGGAAGGGCAGCCATGAAGGAGCTAGAAAACTTTTTATACATTTTTATATATTTTTTAAAAATCCATATATATTATTACGTAATCCTTTCACATGGGCATTCCTAACACATATTGGAGATTTTCTATAATCACCACTAACTACAGTGCCATCTTGAGGCCCAGGTATAAAATGGTAATATACAGAAGCATCTCCTCCAAAGTTCCATAAAGAATGTCATACTTTGACAGAAAATGTTTGTTTCTGAAATTAACATACAGATTCACAGTTTTCAGTACTAGGAGAACATTTTCTTATATCTATTGCAACAGAAATTAGAATTTTATGTGTATTACCTTTCAATTACTTAATGAAAATAATTTCTTTTTGAAGAAAAACTCAGTAAAGATTTATTCTATGATTTGCAGAAAAAAAAATACCATTTGATCGTAAATTTCACACTTTGTAAATACATCCTGTCACTCTCTCTAGGCCTTTGGAAAACTGGCAATAGTAATTGAATGGTTTTCAGGAAACCATCATAAAGCTGTAGTGTCTTTCAAAAAAGAAAAAGCAGCACTGGGGTAAGTAACTAGACAAATCTGTCCTTTGATTAACAATCCAGGAAATCAAAGTATAAGCTATTTTAGTGCCACACCCTGAGAGACTTTGATCTAATGAGAAGTATCCATGCACTGACAGTGTTTTACATATGACTCTACTGCCATCATAGGGAAGAAGGATCATGAACCCAGTATTTACTCACTTGAATACATCTTATTTTATGCAACACATAATTTCCTTTTCTGCTACTGGTACAATCAGCTGATTTAAAGAAGATTCAGTTGCTTACCCAATATATCAAGCTGACGGAGATTAGTGCAGTTAGCAGCAAGTTCTTCTATATCAGAGTCACACACAGACCTGTTGGCAGTCAGAAAGAGCTTTTGCAAATTTGGGAGTTTACGTGCAAGTTTTGCAAAGCAGCCAGTGCTGCTCTGAAGCGTAGGGCACCAGCCAAGATCAAGCTCCTCCAGCAGTGGACAGCCAGAAGCTAGTGCTGCTATTCCATTTTCAGTAATGTTTTTACATCTCCATAAATCCAGTGTACGAAGCTTTTTGCATTTGGCTCCCATCATACTAGCTACTGTGTCATAGTCTTCAATCTGTGAAGAAAAATCACTCTTTATTTGTATCTTCACCACGTATTTCAAACCAAATATTTATTAAAAATACTGTTTTCAGTTTCACATACCAGTTGCAGGCCGAGATGTGAATATAAATACCATTGCTCCACCCAAACATAACTGCTGCTGGAATCAATTACCTGTATGCCACATGCAGCTTGAAAACCCCTCTTCCTACCACACCCCTATGATACTCCAAAACTCTCTTTTGTATCCTGACTGTGGCTTTCAGGTAACGTCTCTTCAGTAACATCATACACTTCTGTATATTGTTGCTACAGCTCACAAATGGGCTTAAGCATCCACAAGAAGATGGAGACAGCATATTATTTGTTTTTAAATTTCAGTAAATGGTAGAAAGCAGCAAAGACATTACAAAATTTTACATTATATATTTTGAAACCAGTGCCAAGATAAAGAATCTTTTAAGTTAATAACCATTATTTCTAAATTATATGCATGTTTGTGGGTGTGTGATTTTATATATAAGAGGCCAATACAAGTAAGTTTTCTTTCATTAAGAAGTCTCACTCTTCACAGCAATCAACAGCCATTGAAAAAGAATCAGTTCCAGTGGTGGCTGGTATGATGGCTAGAAAATAATAAATGGCCACCATCCCTGGCTGGCAACCAACTGGGAAGGAAAACTCATGCCCTTTCAGACAGACGCCTACAGGAGGCAACCGAAGCAATGTGTGCTGTGTACAATCCTACATAGACTAGAAATATTCAGTATGGAACAGTGACTTTAGCAGTGAATATGAACCAATGACATCACAAATCCACATTTAGTGCAACTTGCCTTTCATCAGCAGTGCAAGCACTATACAATCCAATCCCTGTCTTGGTGGTATTCAACAGCCTTTTAGCAGAAAGGGCACAGGGTGCCACACACCTCTGGTACCATTTCCTCTTACTCACCAATTAATGAGTGTGGCCATTTACCACCTTTTGTCCCACTGCACCTGCTGCCACTAATCAATTTTAATACAACTTCCTTGGTAAATCATGTGAATTGGGAATGTATCCATATAGAATAATTTAAGAGAGAATTTCAGTACTGAAACAATTCCATATGATCTAATGCTGCGGTGCAAGTATCACATAAAGGGATACAAACATGGCACCAAACTCTGTAGTTTAAGGGCCAAACTATCATGTTGGATTGTACACATGTAGCTTTCCCATCACTTTAAAACAATACAGTCTTAGAGACTGCAATGTGTCCCAAACCACCCATGCAAAAGGGGCAGGAGAGAGGAGTTGGTTTTTTAAACATTTCCACTCTGGTGGTGTTTGCTAAAAAATTCCTTCCTGTAGGATGCTTTCATCGATTAACCTCCACACCTCTCATTCACCCACAGGTCTTTCAAAGCAGTTAGCAGCCGCTGCAACTTTGTTTAAGAAAACCCCCAAAACCGACAACAACAACAGCATCCAGTTCAGGGTAAAATACATGCAGGTCAGAATAATATAAAGTTTGGTCCATGTTCCTGGGACAGTGAAGTCCATCCAATGGTCATATGAATGAATATGCAAACATGCAAATAGTGGTATCACTAATCTACCAAAGAGTACAACAGTGAAGGTCATGACTAAATACCTAATCTACCTTTCTATTAAATGAAATGTACAGAACTAAAAACAGCTTTTGTAGCAGTATCAAAGTTTAATGAAGGAAGTAGTTCATATATAACTAGAAAAAAATCCCAAATAAATTCCACAGCAAAAAAAGAAGCAGAGAATTTGCTGTATCTCAGGAAAGGAATATTAATCTCCTTACAGACAAGTAATGAAAAAGAATATATTATGACCTCCTACCCAAAAAATCCAGAATATCATTTGCAGAGGTATGCTCTATTTTCACAACCATTGAAAAAAAGAGTGCTGCCATGAGAGGGAGAACATGTTGAAAACTGCCATATTCATGTGATTAGGGGTACATATGAATGGCCTGTCCTTTGGAACAACTTCCATATACCTGCACTGAAAGAAACTTCTACACTGCTCTTTCTGAGAACGGGGTTTAAAAACAACTAAAAGGTACAGGAGATTCTTCTTTTTGCTTCTTTAATGGTAGTAGTACAAAGCTCACATAAGATTTCACTAAGATCACACTCCTCTCCAGAAATGTTTTAGTATAATAACAAAGAAAAGTAACGACTAATTTTCCTCCCATAACACAGCTGAGGAGTCCATATTTGGGAATCATATGCATGCTTTGAACTTTAAGAACTTACCATTACACAGCTACCCAGGCTGAGGTGCTGAAGCTCTGAACAGAAGTTCAGAATGCTGAGCATTGCTGTTTGCTGCCATTGGGGAACACATCAGAAGCAAATATAGAAAGCAAAACAAAGAGAAAGGGTCAATTAGACATTAAAGGCTGTCACTGCTTTCCCTGAAATTCAGCTCAAACCCTAGGTAACAGACACCACAAATGCCATTTAATGAGTCCCTAGATGCTCCAACCATTGATTGGCTTAGAGTCAAGGTAATCATTACAAGCCTTTATATAATAAGTCACTCTGGATGTGGTTTTGCATGCCCTGAAGACACCTTTATTCCCATGACCTATCAGTTCATTTCCCTCAGGAAAGCTCTTAGAAGTCTGGTAAGTTCAAACAACAAGCGAGGCCAAACCAAAAACATAGAGGGCTGGTGACATCCCGGAAAAGTGCAGCATCTCTGACATTCACTGATCAGCTACAGCCTGATGGAACTGCCAATAGACTCACACATTATAAGGATCGAGCTGGTGACTTTAATGTCACAGGATTCTCTTGCTGACAAGTATACTGACAACCATTGAGCACCATTGAGCACCTGTCACTAGACCACATATGGATGGCAACAAATATAATTTGCTCTTCACAGTCATGTTTCTGCAATGTTAAATGTGGCCACACTGATTACAGTGAAGTAATACATCATTAAAACAAAGTAAATCAGGCTCTACCAAAATATCAAATCCACCTTGCAAAATGGTAACTTTTGTGTCACAAGAGTATTGTAATGTCATTTATTCATAAATACACTACCCCATTCAAAATTAACATAATTCCAAAATAAACACACACACACACACACACACACACACACACACACACACACACACACACACACACTGTTTAGCTGGGCTTTTAGTCCAGAAACACACCTTGATTGAATGGATAAAAATGACTTGGGGATCAGCAGAATTACAGAGAAAAGTCTAACACTGTATAGAAATCATCTTTCTATTTGTTACACCTCACTATAAACCTGGCAAGTTTTGTATATGTCCACTTGGAAGATTTATAGTATTTATATAAGAAGATACATGCAAGAAAAGCATCTGATTGGTAACAATTTGCCAAGAACCTTATTTAACAACTATCTGGAACTCCAAGCTGAAACATCTGAGCCAGGATATCTGTTTGCAAAGTCAAGGTAATATCATGATTTGCAATGTTGTGCTGGCACAGCAACAAGAAGATCAGTTAAAAAAATCACACAGGTAATTGTAGGTACTGGGAACCTTGTAAGAAGTTAAGTAGTGATTTGCCATTTTTTCAAGTACACACTGAAATTCAGCATCCAGACATATGTTGTATGATCCTCTTCAACACTGTAGTCTTTATAGATGATTGATTATTATTGATTACTAATGACACAAATGAGTCCTAATTGAACTTCTTTTAACATACAGACAAGATAAGTGAATAGGTTTAGCGTCCAGAGAAGTCCAGAAAATCATAGAGAAAGAGGAAAAGGGCAGAAACTAACTAAAGCGCAGAAACTAAACTATTTTTTTATTTAATACTGAAGAGTTTTCCAGTATCTGCACATTTAATAAGTATTGTAATTATGCATAACATACAGTTCCATGCATACTAATGTTATCTGAACTCATTTCATAACCAAAACACAAAAAAACATAAACACAGCTTTCAATAATTCAAAGATAACTGCCACAGAAAATGTATAGTATATTATTCCAGGTAACTTGAAACCATTAATTCAACAGATTCAACATGTCTGTATAATGAAACTTTTTTTATTTTAAAGTCCAAAGTGTGTTTAATCATTTAAAACATTTTTATCTTGTATTTCAATCTCAAGGCAGTGAACTAAAAAGACACTGAAAATTGACTTTGATATGTATGCACAGTTTTTAAACAACATAAACAAGCAAGAAAGAGGGTCAGTAATGGATTGCCAGATGACCTGCCAGTAGAAAATAACTATAGAGGGGGACTTCCGATTTTTGGCAACTTGCAGGTGGGTGCGGTCCATCATTGCTCTGATATGAGTGGCCCGCAAACATGCCGATGGGGAGGGGTCCGAGTTGATCTTGGACCCCCGTGACCCATTGTAGGGGGGTCGCAGCCTGGGGAGCGTGAGGTGCCTCTCCCGAGGTGGAAGCCAAGAGATCGAGGCTCCTTTTTGCCCCGATAGGTCCTTGCAGCACAGAGTCAGTAATGGCACATAGAGGCTCATACCGGCCCGAGCGCACAAGTGATCCGAATGAAACTATCTTCTCTACATCTTAAACAAACGCAAGTAAGAATGGGAGTGAATCCACGAATTAGCAAGAAACCACCTAAATCCCGAGAGTAAAGCCACCCCAAAATCCCAAACAAGTGGAAGGGGGACGGGAATCCTGATCCCGAAAAACAACAACCTGGGTTAAAAGTGGGGACCGAGACTGAGTGTGGTACAGATTAGTAAGAACGCATTTATTACCATACCTTCAGAGACTTCTGAAATTTTTTTGCTAACTGTAAACAATGATGCAGCGAGCAGAAAGAATGGTGGCGAAATCGAAACTTATAACAGGAACTGCCAGCACATCGCCTCTGGTCACTAAACCGGAAGCAACCATAGACTTTCCTAAAATGATTGTTGCAGCTTTGTGCCCTCTACTGGACCAGATGACCAACCTCAACGACAAGTTTGATACATTGCAAAAGGAGCTTAAAGAAACTTCAGCAAAAACAGAGGAGTTAACCAAGAAGCTGAAAAAAGTTGATGTTAAGTCCAAAGAGTTTGAACAAAGACTGGAGGTAGTGGAAAAAGAAAAAATCCCCGAGAGTCAACAATTGCTACTTCTTCAAATGGAAAAATCAGCGTATGTCCTGAGATTTCAAAACATTCAAAACATTCCGGAGCAGAAAGGAGAGAACCTGAAAGAGATTTTAAGTGAAGAGCTCGTTCCCGTGGTAGGCTTAACAGCGGAAGTGATACAAAGTGATATAGATATGGTATATCATACTTATCCAGAATTTATTTAAAAAAGAAGCTACCCGGGGAAGTATATGTGAAATTCTCAAAAAGGTCAATGAGAGACTTAATTTTAAAGGAAACAAACGGAATTGTCTTGAAAATCAAAGGAGAACAAATCAAAGTCTTAAAAGACGTTCCATTTGAGATTAAGAGAAGAAGGAGACAATAGAGACTTAACACTGTTTTTGCAAAATCATACCACTCCATACAGATGGATATTACCAGAAGTCCTTATCTTCAACTACAACGGGAAAAAAGAAAAGATTGACTCTGTTCTTAAAGCGAAAACATTCCTGAAGCAACAACAGAAAGCGAGAGACGGATCTGAGAAAGTGGAGGACAACAAAGGTGTGGAAGAAGAAGAAGATAAAAAGGGGGGGAAATTCTGACAATACCGCGAACTGCTCAGCAGAATCCTCTGACCTGGAACCAGAATTAGGGGCTGCTCCTCCTAAACCTTCAAAAGTTCGACTAGATTTTGATAAGAAGCGCAGTGGAAAGAAATAAGCAAAACAGAGTAATTTTGAAAGTCTGATGTTTATTATAAACTAGTTATCTTAAAGCTAAGAAACACACACTTTAGCCAAGCAAGGTTGTGTTTGCTAACTTTATATTTTTATATTTGCATAGTATTAACTCTCATGTATTACTATTTGAGTAATAGGGAAATCGATTATTTTGAATTTATGTATTAATGATCCTTGCTACTCGTAGTTTTAGGCTGGTCCCTTCCCTTGACCTTGTAGGTTTGTAAAATAGAAAAAGCAATAAAAACATTTTTTAATATATATATAAAAAAAACTATAGAGGGAGACAGGCAAATCTCCCTGAAGAGGGAATTCCACAGTTTTGGTTCCATGATCTAGAAACCCTTTCTCTAGTTCCCACCCCCCAAAGCAAGGTCCCCAAACATGACCATAATGGTCACATAGGTTCATATGAGAGTAAACAGTCCCTAAGGGTTCTGTACACAGACTATATGTGGGTTCAATGTGTGAGTGTAAGGACTGTGGATCTTCCCCACCTTCCTCTCCTGCCAGAACCTCACCTGACCCTGGTTAAGTTTATTGATGGTGTTGAGGGGCTTGTAAGCACTAATAGCCATGCACACCAGGCAGTTGCAGTGGGAAGGAAGAAGAGGACAAAATCATTCATTTCTTCTGTGAGTGAAGCTCTGCTCATGCAAGCGGGGGTAAGGGCGAGCTTGTTCCCTTTGATGACAGCACCCCATCGCCAGACTTAGAAACTTAAATTTCACAATGTACAAACTTCTTTGTTTAATATATACTTTTATTTTTATAATTGATTGCTAAGTCTCCTAGTCTTTAATGATGGCAATGTCTGGACCCAGGGTGCCACCCAACATTCTCTTGACTTATTGTTAAGGAACCACACAATAGGCTTGATGAAAATAACTAAGCAGGGCTTTTTTGTTTGTTAGTTTGGAAAAAGAGGTGCCAGAACTCTCAAGAGGCAAATGAAGTTTTCAATCTGTATACTGAAAACTCATGAACTTTTAAGCATTTTAAAAGAATTTTGTTGAAGAGAGTCTGAGAGTCAAAGTTTATGCCCCAAAATCTTGTTGTTCTCTCAGGTGCTACTGGACTCAAATCTAGTCACAAAGCAGGCTTCTTGTTTGTCTGAGTCAGACATGCAACATGGAACGGATAGGCTTTTATCTTTCAACTGCTGACAGGAACAGCACCCAAACCCTACCTGTCTTCAAAGAACCTAAAGTCCTTAATGAACTCTCTGCCTAACCAACAGAGCTCCTAAGCCTTCTCCCATAAAGGTCCAAGCACCCTGAACTCTGTCAGTTGGACAGCAATTACACTGCCAAACTCCTTTTTTTAAAAAACCAATCCACTGTTTGAAAGTGATTAGCTGAGGCTCCTGGAGGGTAGAGCTTGAAACCATTTGTCACACCTTTCCATTCTCCATTACAGCCACTCAATTGGTACAGCTATTAGTACATGGGAGTCCCTGAACCCTGGCAATAAACTTTCGCTGAGATGGAAAGAGCTCCTGGAAGGAGAAGAAGGTA